GTTGATGACTATTCGAGGTTTACATGGACACTCTTTCTTGCTCATAAGTATGATGCACTTAATGCTTTTAAGAAATTCATTAAATTAGTTCAAAATGAAAAAGATTGTCACATTTCATCCATAAGAAGTGATCATGGGGGAGAATTCGATCAAGATGGTTTTGATGCCTTATGTGACGAATTAGGCATTGAGCATAACTTCTCGGCCCCCCGTACACCACAACAAAATGGAGTGCTTGAACGGAAAAATAGATCTCTTGAAGAGATGGCTAGAACTATGCTCAATGAGGCAAACCTTCCTAAATATTTTTGGGCGGATGCCGTGAGTACCGCGTGCTACGTGTTAAACCGAGCCGTCATTAGAACGATACTCAAGAAAATGCCCTATGAACTTTACAAAGGAAGAAAGCCTAACCTTTCCTATTTTCATGTCTTTGGATGTAAAGTTTTTATTCATAATAACGGAAAAGATAACTTGGGAAAATTTGATGTTAAGTCGGATGAAGGAATTTTCTTAGGCTATTCTCTTCGTAGTAAGACATATAGAGTGTTCAACAAGCGTACTAAGACCGTAGAGGAATCTATTCATGTTGTCTTTGATGAATTTGATGCTCGCTTGGCGAAGAAAGGTATTGTTGATAATGTTGCAGGTTCTTATGATGATGAAGAAGAAATCGTTAAGGAAAAGGAACCGGAAGAAGAGAAAACGCAGGAACAAACGGTTCTTCCTAAGGAGTGGAGAACATTGAAGAACCACCCGATTGACAACGTTATTGGTGAAATAACGCAGGGAGTTTTTACTCGTAATTCTCTTAGGAACACAATTAATCACATGGCCTTTGTTTCCCAAATTGAACCAACAACCGTTTTGGATGCTATTAATGATGAACATTGGTCTATGGCAATGCAAGAGGAGCTTAACCAATTTAAACACAATGATGTTTGGGAATTGGTGCCTAGACCTAATGATCATTCCGTTATTGGCACAAAATGGGTGTTTCGTAACAAACTCGACGAAAATGGGGTAATCACTAGAAACAAAGCTAGGCTTGTAGCTAAAGGCTACAATCAAGAAGAAGGCATTGATTATGAAGAAACTTATGCACCGGTTGCACATTTAGAAGCTATTCGTTTATTGCTTGCATTTGCATCTACAATGGATTTTAAACTTTATCAAATGGATGTTAAAAGTGCCTTCCTTAATGGTATCATTCAAGAGGAAGTGTATGTCGAACAACCCCCGGGTTTCGAAGACTATGAGTTTCCCGAACATGTCTTCAAACTCAAAAAGGCGCTTTACGGTCTCAAACAAGCACCTCGTGCTTGGTATGAACGGTTAAGCAAATTTCTTTTGGACCATGAGTTCAAACGGGGTCAAGTCGACACTACTCTTTTTATCAAGAAAGATAACCAAGACATCCTTTTGGTTCAAGTTTACGTAGATGATATCATATTCGGTGCTACTAACGAAGTTTTGTGCAGGGATTTTTCCGATATGATGCAAAGTGAATTTGAGATGTCGATGATGGGAGAATTAAAGTTCTTCCTTGGGCTACAAATTAGACAATGCAAAGCAGGGACATTCGTGTGTCAAACGAAATATTGCAGGGAGTTGCTTAAGAGATTCGATGTTACCGAATCCAAATCCATTGACACACCAATGAGCACCTCTTGCTATCTCGACAAGGATGAAAAAGGTAAAGAGGTGGACATCAAACGCTACCGAGGTATGATCGGATCTTTACTTTATCTTACCGCGAGTAGACCGGATATCATGTACTCCGTTTGTATATGCGCTAGGTATCAATCTTGTCCTAA